AGTTTCTCAAGCATTTATTATACCTTAGTTAATATACTGGTTATTCCGTTATTCACACGTGCTATACATAACAACGAAAATGTAGCTCTGGCATTGGTTAGAAAAAGGTAACAATGCGAAATAAAAATACTATAGCGTTCTGCTTATACATTATCAAAGAGCGTTGTTGTTGGGCTTACTTGTTTATTTATTTAGTTGTAAGAATAATTGCAATTTCCCTTCCTTCTCTATGTGTATTTTGGTTGTCATCTTCTCTGTAAAGATTTATGCACGTAGTTGCTGACAATAAAAAAAAACCCAGTTTATAAAAGAGAAGACTTTCCATAATTTTGGATAATGACTAGTGACTCTAAGATAAGCATTAGCTATAAACCATACATACTGTACTGTGCAAAAGTGTTAGGACAAAGTCAACAATTAGATTTCAGACTACTTTCAACGAACAATGGAAGGTAAATCACAGATGAAACATCAAAATTTTATTAATCTTCATGTTTAGTATAACAGAAAATCAGTTAATATTTTGTGTGTCCCCCTTTTGCTTTAAGAACTGCAGACAGTCTTTCAGGCATTGTTGCAACATATTTAATCAAAGTGTCCTTTGGGATTTTACTACAAATGTCTCTAATACACTCCCATTAAATTTCTTTGGAAGTAACTTTTGATTTGTCAAGTTTTTGATCTATCAAATCCCAGATCTGCTCAATTGGGTTAAGATCGGGGCTTTGTGTGAGCCATTGCATCATTTGAATGACTCCAGCAGCTTCTTTCTTAGCTACGTCATTTCTGCATAAGTTGGATGAGTGTTTGGAGTCATTATCTTCTTGGTAGCACAATCCTTTACCAATAATAGGCTAACCACTGGGTATACCATGACAGATCAGTATCTGATGGTACTTGCTCTTATCCATTATTCCATCTATTTTGCAAATATCTCCTGTCGCCTCAGCAGAAAAACACCCTCAAACCATTACACTGCCTCCCCCATGCTTCATGATAGGTGCTATACATTGAGGTAAGTATCTTTCACCTTTCTTTTCCGATGGACGTACAACCTATGCTATGAACCAAATATTTCAAACTTGGACTCATTCATTTTTCAATCACCAACAGTACAGTTTTGTATTTTTTACCAAATTTCAGTCTCTTGACAATATTTGGAGATCGAAGTAAAGGTTTTTTAACTTCTACACGACCAAATATTCCATTCTCGTTGAGTCTTCTTGATACTGTAGATCTGGACACTTTTCTATTATTTGGTACATGGTCGTTTATCTCATGCTTGAGATCAGTGGGAGTCACAAAGGCTGCATAAACGAAGATATACAAAGTGTAAAGAAAATCCAGATATTTGCATTACAATTCGATTAACAGTGAAATAGTGGAAACATGTCGATTCAGATTGGCCTTTGAATGAGCTATTACTATATGTTTTATTAGTATGAGTTGTTGTGCCCCCCAGTGGCTCAGCGGTATGTCAACAACGCTAGAAACCGGTTCTCGATACCCGTGGTGGGAAGAGCACAGATAACTCATTGTGTTGCTTTGTACTTAAATTAAAATAAATAAACAAAAAATGAGTTGTTGTTGGTTGTGTGGTTTATTGATTGTAATATCAGTTAATTGTCAAATAAACTACAACAATTTGTTGTCCTAAGAAACCAATCGTAGCAGTTTTATCCTTTATAAGATATTAAAAATGAAGTTAGTTTTAACCCAGTCATTGTTTATCCACATTAGATGCGTACTTCAATCTACTGAGAATAGGAAATTAATCTGAGGAAAATATTTCTTACAATAGACGGTTTGAATCCATAAATTAATGTATCCTTGCGGAGGAATGTGCAACTTCCATAATTAGATGGTTGTCTTCCTGCAGAAAAGAATACACCCCAAGAAAACTTGAAATATCCATCAAGAAATCAACAACGTGCTTGGTCAAGATGTCATATTGCTATCAAAACTGATAACGATTTAACAGAAAAACTGTTGATGTGGAGAAACTGATGGATCGAGATATGTCGATAGTTAAGTTGAAGTCAATTTTCGATCAACAGAAATACAAGCATGTTCCATTTTTTTAAATACATGTGCCTCTTTTATAATTTACTGAACAGTACCAATACTATTCTATCTCTCTTCTAACACAATGAAATCTTTAAATGTCTATTTTCTAGCATGTTGATCACATTTAATATCAATGCTAGTTTCGCTCTCTCTCTCTTTTCACAACTGAGCACATAGACTCAATTCATATAAAACATTTTTATGCCATGTTTAAATCCACACTGGCATCCTTTCAATTTCGTTTACTATTCTGTTTAACGTATGTAACACAACATCCTAAATATCACGTTCTATTAATGTATTTTTCACCGGCTCCACATTTTTATTATATTTAAAATATTCCTTAAACTATTACTAACGTTTTCTTTCGTGAAATTTAACATCTGATATGGAGTTTAGTCCTTTTAGTGTCCATCTTACTTAGTTAAAAACAAGATAAAAATATTTCTTACAGAAAAAAATTTAGGCTATTTCTGATTTTTAACGTTTATAACAATTAAATAAAGATCACGTATGAATATCTTTTTGAAATGTTTAACTTCTCCTAAATATAATATTCCGTCTCCCATCTAATGTGTCAATTAAAACTAAATCCGCAACTACGTAACGTTTTTTTTAATAAGTTACAGCTTTTACAGTAAGTAAGATTTATTTTTAGAATAGGCACGACGTTTCGATCACTTGTGTGATCGTTCTCAAGTACACAAAATTTACTTAATCAGTTAAGCAACATTTGGTTTACTTTATATACACATGTTTAACATTTTCGATTATCCAATAATTTAATAATATCGTGACGTACATTGGGATTCTTATCTAGTGGTAATTTGATACTTTTCAATTGTATTTAACATATCTGACGCTAGTGGACATTTATCACCTTGTCTTACAACAGAAGAACTTATAGCAGCACCCTTAGTAATAGGGTATTAATATTTGAAACATTTAATTTGAACTAAGTCCAAAGTTCAATAATCATTTTTACCAAAGCCTTAGAATCACATAACAGTACAGGGGCTCTCACCTTAATAAATATTGTTAACAATGTTATTTATGTATCAGTCCGTTCACTTTCAGACCAGATGTTTTACATCAAATTGCAAGTCTTTTCAGCTTTTATTATACTAAATACAGAGTTGTCATACATTAAAACAGTGTGGTTGAAACTACAATTTCTATGTACTTTTACATAGGTACAATTTTTAATTTCTCGCCTCTTAAACTTCATTTTTTAGGACCTGATATTTTTCTCCACCACAGTTAGCTTAGCTCTTTTTCTGCTATATGTGATTTTTTTTAAAGTTTCATAACAATTTTCTAACATATTCCACAATTTCTGTAATTAGATAGTATTATACTTCCACACTGCAATATTATCGATATATGGTAATAAAATATTTTTTTGTCTTTGTCCCACTATATATTTTTGGCATTTTGCAATTAATCCATAAACTCAACTTAATTTTTCATTACAATTAATGTAGCTAATCTTGCAGCTTTTGTGCGAGTATTGAGCTATAACTAAGCTGTTGAATGATTTCAATAGTTCTACTTGTTATTGTTCAATAATCTTGCAGCTTTTGTGCGAGTGTTGAACTATAACTGTTGAATGATTTTAATAATTATACTTGTTATTTGTGTGAGTGTTTAACCTATTTATAGCTATTGAATGACTTTGGTAGTTCTTCTTGTTTTTGTACAATATACCTTGCAGCTTCTTTCAATCGGTTATTGATGTGCTGTACAAGTAATTTCAAAAGTTATTGAAATGTCATATATGATCTTAAGTTTTTTGCCTGTTTTTTGGCTCTTTTCTCTTACTTCTGCTATGAGATACTCTTAACTAACATTCTATATTATTATTATTATTATTTAATGGAACCCCTCTAGTTGGCTCGCTCACAGCTACACGCACGCGTACTACATTATTCAAGTATAACTTGCTATCCCTCACTTCTAATTTTATATAACCATTATAAGTATAAAAACAAAGAGTTGATATGGTGCGGTAAGGGATTACACACCTGACCACTACATTAATATTATCCAAGTCGCTACCTCCTTGACCTTCGTCTGAGCTGAGTGACATCAGAGATTCCTGAGAACTTGCTGTACTTGGCCTATAGAGATATATATTAAAATACGGATATGTTAATTACGTGATAAACTTTGGTAGTACAGATACTATCAATAAATTATCAGAGGCAATAAATATGGATAATAATATTATGGTATAAAAATCAAAGGCAGAATTAGCTACTTCTGAACGATGAAGATAACGTGTACAATTAATATCTGATAATTATCTGGTAGTCTTTCATATTGACTAGCTCTAAGAGTTTGATAAGAAATATGAAATTATAATAACACAGAAGTATTTTAGTTAACTTGTATTGACGTAACGTATAACAACATGATTCTGAAACCAAATTACAATATAGTGATAGTTCTAATTAGCGTGTAATAACATAACGTGTAACAACATGATGCTAAAAGACAAACAACAATATAGTAATATTTCTAGTTACCTTGTAATAACATAATGTGTAATAACTTGATGTTAAAAGACACTCTTACAACAATACAGTAATATTTCTAGTTAAGTTGTAATGACGTAACGTGTAATAACGTGACAAAAAAAGACAAACTTTAAACAATATAGTCACATTTCTAGTTAACACGTAATAACATAACATGTAACAACATTATGCTAAAAAGCAAACAACAATATAGCAATATTTCTAGTTAACCTCTAATAATATAACGTGTAACAACTTGTTGAACAAACACTTACAATAAGACAATGATATTTCTAGTTAACTTGTAATAACATAACATGTAATACAGTGATGCTAAAAGACAAAATTACAACAATATAGTAGCATATCTAGTTAACTTTTTGTGAATTTGTAACGTGTAGCACCTGTATGATAAGGACAAATATACAATAATATAATACTTTGTAGTTCACTTTAAGGGGGCGTTGTTATCTGCAGCAGTTTGATCATAAAGACGAACGCCACAAATATAGTAATTAAGTTATTCCGACTTTATAATCTATAAGCAAAAGTACCCGTCCCCAGTGACGGGAAAAGTTTAAATTAATCTATCAATTTAAATTATTTCATGGTCTTTGAATATGTTAATGGTGTTGCACTCCTAGTTTCACTCAGAGCCAAAGTTCTGAGCTATTTATACCACCCACCGCGAAAAGTAATTGTTTAGCATTCAGCCATGCTAAGAGCCGCTCAACAATAACATACAGTAAAGCTACATTTTTATTCTTTAACTTACGTCACATTTTGAAATGTGAATGATAATGTGATTAACTCCTAACAATTTAGTGTAGAATATTCTGCTTGCGAAATAAAATTTGGCATCAACATTATTCATGCTTGTTCTACCGTCATTTCAAGAGTGAATGTTGAGCTTTGCCTGCGTGCGCAGCTTTTCAAACGCAGCGCAGTAAGAGGCCGCCGTAAACGGGAGACGGACGAACGCTCGGACAGACACCACGGTTTGCAATATATAAAAAATGCCAACTTTATTACAAACAGAAACAAACATTAAGTATTTAAAAAAAATTTAAGGTTTGGGAACTTAATTCCGCCTTGATGAATGTTTATATTAAGAGGATATTACAGATTTGTTTACATTATTTATAGATTTATGAATATTTCTAGTACACTTTCCATGATTGGGTGGTTCAGTTTTGTAAACTTGTTGTTTCATTTGTGATACGTTTGCTATATTTCAGAAAGTATGGAAAGTACTAATTAATATCTGTCAAGTACAAAAAATTAGACCGTTAAATATATATTACATTTTATGTGAAAGGAGAAAACATTAATTTTTGATAAGTTATTTTAATTTTTGGATAGTATGATACTATTTAATCCTGTAGAAATACCCAATTATCTATAACATCTTTCCAAAATATAACATATACTTGTCATATTTTTCATTTTTATCGTTTTCTCACCGTGTTGAATATTCTTTCATGTTTCATTTGGTATCTGCAGTTAATAAGGATAAAGCTTATCATTATATGTTGTTATTAAATTCTATAACATATGTTTCTTGGTGGTGATTTAGTAATAACAATGATCACACCTACAAGTACTTCTTTACCCTCTCTCGTATAGTTAAAGTTCGATTACGAAAGAGACATTCAAATGTATCGAAGTGAAACTTTAGAATGGAAACACTTCTTGAAAAAACATAAGGAAATTAAACGTAGAATAGAATTTTAAAAATCACAAGATAGAATATTTTAGGCGAAGACAAAATGGATTGGGAAAATATTGATATGGAGAAAAAACTTAATATCAAATCGAATACTTCCTCTGGTGTGGTATTCAACAACGTATCCAAAGAAAAAATACACTTTTTTTATAAGTAGGAAGAAACTGGAGAAATGATTTGAAACGTGATGAAGTAAAGGAATAAAAAAAATGGTTCTTATAGAATGGGAAAATTCAACAGGTGGAGGTTGAAACCAAGCCAGAGGTTTTCCTAGTGTGCAGATGACCACAAATTGTGCACCTGTAAAAATATTTATGTAGTTGAAAATTCATCTATATAAGTAAGTTCGAGTAAAAAAAATATTTAAAAACGACATGCTTAAGATTATAAAGTTCCATTCCAGAGTTTATAAACAAATGTATTTACCAGAATATTCTTCATTTTTTGGATCATTTGTTACTACCTGTATATATGAGGTGCAATAAGGCATAATGTATTAAAAGTTATGAAGTTATAATATAATTGTGAAGTTGAAAAATTCCTTAGGAAAAGCTCTGAAACAAGCAGAGAATGTCTTTGAATTTAGGATGAAATCTGAGGAAGGGCTAGAGATGAAATTAGAGTTAATGTGGTTGAGATCAGTTTAGAAAATGTCATCGTCACTAACTTACACAATACATGATGGTGTTGAGTATTATCAATTAAAAGTGGTTAATGTGGTTGAGATCAGTTTAGAAAATGTCATCGTCACTAACTTACACAATACATGATGGTGTTGAGTATTATCAATTAAAAGTGGTTAATGTGGTTGAGATCAGTTTAGAAAATGTCATCGTCACTAACTTACACAATGCATGATGGTGTTGAGTATTATCAATTAAAAGTGTCCAATCGATTAGAATTTATTTTCAAGTTTCGTACTTAGCCTTTCCGTCTCAGTAGAAGCCTTGCTGGAAGGCAGACAAATAGATGCAGAACTGGTCTGGAAGGAAATAAGTTAAACTAAACACAAGATGGAAGAGTGGGCTAAGATGATCTGGAGTATCAGCTTATGTATATATATATATGAACACGTATATCTCTATATACACGTCCATGTTTATAAAAGAAGCTACCTTAAATAGATGTATTTCTATTTGCTTCTAGTTGTATCACTACTTATCGTCCATTCAAAACCTTATTGAACTTTTACAATATATTCAGTTTCATATTAAAGGAATATCTATTTATATTTTTTCGCTTTCATAATCTCCTATAGTATAAGCCATACAGGTACTAAAATATCATTCTCATTACACTGGACAACACAAACTTTGCTACTGGAGAAAACTCAAATGATTCAAGGTAATTTGATGATATTGATTTCAAAAATGTAGCCAGAATTTGTCCATCACCACTATGTTTAGAGTTATTATAAATATATCAATATTTCATCAGAACTATGTGAAATACTATGCAATCAACTTAACAACAATCCAAACACGATTCACAACTCTCGCTAATACGAAAAGCCCAAAAACAGGAACAACCTCTAAATGAAATTCACCAAAATCGTAGAAACACCAGCCTCATGTAACAAAGATATTTCTCCTTTCAGCTACAACACTTCACAAAACAAACAAAACTCACTTCAACAACCACCTTGAGTGTTTTGCTTTGTCCTTCGCCTCTCTCTTTTTCTTTTTCAGGATACCGACCGAAACGAACAACAGACTACAAGTGTATTTGTGTATGTGTTGCATATGTATATACATAACACATTTAAATTGTTAGTTTCTCAGTCTTATGTCTTTTATCGAATAATGTTTATTGTTACCTGATTTGAAATTGTAAATTGTAATTATAGAATGTTATCTGTTCTGTGTAATTGTCATTAATTTAACAAGCAATAAATTATGGTTCTGGTCTCGTGTAGTCTCTGGTACGGGATGCGTCGGCCCTCTGTGGCGGGCGTTCGCTGTCTGGTGTCTCTGCTCGTGACCCGTTGATCTCGTACGTCAGAATTGAAGCTTCACTTCTATCTCATTACAACAACAAGAAAGCAAACGCACTTCCTGTCTTTCTCTCGCTTGACCACAGCAAGTCACCAAAGCATAATCAAAATTCCACGGAAGTCATAGCTCATTCTCCGAACTTTAACTACCACAATCTCTATAATCATCAACAAGCCAAGAAAGGGCCGAAGAGAAATAACTTCAATTTCTGACCACCCCTGAGTTATTAAACCTACATACCTACCACGATTAGATCGGATTGAGTACCTCTCTCAGTTGCCTCTCACTAACTTAGTTGGTCACTTCTCCTCGCTCCGTGCACAGATAAAACAAAGCCCGATCGTCTTCGCAACATATCCGAGGTATAACCAAATTCTGCAAAACTTTGTTTTTTAAAATCTTGTAAAGATAATATATTTTTTTTAGAAGGCCCCCAGTTCAAGTAAAGTCCGAAAGTGCAAAGATTACCCAAACAGTTTCTGCTATATTTGTACAAAATATATTACAAATTCATGAAGGAAAAACATCACACACAAGTAAAAGTAGCTTAATACCATTATTTTGAGTGTAAAATTGGTGACCAAGAAAAACGCTGGGCTCCAAGTGTGTTGTACAGTTTGTATATCTGGCTTGACACAATAAGAACAAGTACACATTTGCAGTTCTCATGATATGGTATGAGCCCAACGATCATCACACTGAGGATTATTTTTGCATGACTAACGTTTCTGGATATTCAGGCAAACTAAACAATGCATGAAATATACAGATATTGCATGTGCAATGGAACCAGTACCTCACGGAGATGGTCTTCCAGTACCACATCCATCAGCGAATTGGGAAACAAAAGAGTTATCCTGCGAAGAAAACAATGAATCATCTTCATTCTTTTCATCTAGTAATTCTGTTCCTGTGGTACCTCAATATAAACTGTCTCATCTGATCACACAAGAAGAGCTAAATGATCTGATTCGTGACTTGTCTCTATTAAAGCAGCATGGGGAACTTCTTGGCTCTCGTTTGCGTCAATAGAATTTATTAGCTCAAGGAACAAGAGTTTTAATTTACCGAAGTCTTGTTTCTCACTACAACATTCATCATACTTTGTGTTCCTGTACAATTGTTGTTGATGCACTAATGGAAGAATTAGGTACTGAACATCATTCTCAAGAATGGAGACTTTTTATCGACTCATTTAAAGTTAGTTTGAAAGCTGTACTTTTGCACAATGGGAACACTAAGCGGTCTATTCCTGTTCTTCATAATGTGAACATGAAAGAGACATATCAAAATGTGCATATTATACTTGAAGCCATTAAATATGATCACCATAGATGGAACATATGTGGTGATCTAAAAGTTATTGCACTCCTGCTAGACCTGCAGAGTGGGTATACTACACATTATTGTTTTTTGTCTCTGAGAGAGCCGAGATGATAAAAATAATTTCAAAAGGAAGGTAGGAATGGCCAGTGAGAGAGAATTACATACCAGGGAAAGAGACTATTGAGTATCAACCTTTAGTGAACCCTCAAAATGTGTTTCTGTCCCACTTCATATTAAAGTGGGGCTCATGATGAATTTTGTAAAAGGAATGAACAAAGATGGTGATGTTTTCAGATATCTGTCTGACAAGGAGGTATCTTTGTTGGGTCACAGATTCTGTAAGTGCTGATGAATGGCGATTTTGAAACATTACTCAATCAGTAAGAACTTGCTGCCTGGAAATTATTCAAACTGGTTGTCAAAAGCTTTTTAGGAAATCACAGAGATGAAAACTATGCTGTGACGACTGATTATATGATCGAGAACTACAGGAAAATGGGGTCTAGGACGTCAATAAAAATGTACTTCTTACACACACATTTAGACTTCTTTCCAAATGATATAGGTGCACCGAGCGATGAGCATGGTGGGCGCTTTCACCACGATATGTCTACAATGAAACAGTAATATTCAGGACGATGGAATCCTACGATGATGGGAGATTACTGTTACTGAGAATATTCACAAAAGACGCAACAAGTCAAGCAGATATTTTGTAACAAAAAATAAAAAAATAATACCCTGATAAAAGTTTAGAACACAGCCTGAATGTATTTTTAGTATATAATTCTATTATACTCATTGTCTTTTTAAAACTGATATTGCTATTATGTATTGTTTTTGAAAATTCTTAAATGCAGTTTTCAGAAAAAGTTATTACAGAAAAATTTGTTATTTATGCTTTATTTTAGCTTCTACGTACTGTTATTTTTGTATGTATTATTGTTGAAATATATATAAAATATTGAATCTGTTTTTATCTTGTAAAACGTCAAGAGATTTCTTAACATAATATTGATTATTACTAATTAAAACACCGATACTTTCATTTGGTCTTATAATCACAAAACTTGTCTATCACTGTCATTCTTTAGGTTCCATCATTTGGTCCTTCTTAATATACGTTGTATTATAAAAAGAAGGGTCTCCACGAAAAAAAGAAATAATAATAACATGAAATAACATATAGTTGACCTTCAAGAAAGACTCTCCTATCTCCTAGTCCTAAGTTTGTGAAATGTTTTGCTCGTATTTCGGTTTTCAATGTGACTGAGTAGACATCCGTAATAGTATGTTATATAGACATCGTTTCGAACCTAAAACATCTCTAAAAACATAACGTGGGGCGACTTCCAAGTACGCTTACTGAGGTCACACAGTTTGTACAGTGGTTTCAGGGTAACATTTTAAATATCTTATGTAGTATTTTAATTATTAATTATAGTTGTGAGAGTGAAAATATTTTATAAAGAGTTAAACATACGAAAATACTTAATTCCGATATAATCACACCAATATTCTTGCGCAGTAAACTGATCTTAAATAGTACTGAGGGTTAGCTAACCTCTATAAATAAGGTCCAAGCACTGTCCTGATCTTGGAACTACTTGTTCCATCGTCGATCGATGACCATGATCACGCACTATCGCCTGACAACTCATTTTCCATGATTCTACAAAGGTTTGGTTCTGTTTTGAATTTCGTGCAAAACTACACGAGGGCCATTTGCACTATCCAATATTAATTTAGCAGTGATATACTAGAGGGAGGTTAGCTAGTCAACACCACCCACTACCAACTCTTGGGCACTCTTTTACTAACGAATAGTTAGCAGGTTGCGAATCTATAAAGGTTAACGAGTCCAATCTTAGACCACACGTCCTGACAAACCTTCCAAGGAACAAATACATAAAAGTCCACCGTAACTACGTGAGGGGGCTTGGAGGATACGTGATCGAATGGAATTCTGTGATTCCAGTTTCTTCGGACATCTTTTTCATGAAGACAGCAATTGATTTCGAGGTGTGTCTGGAGGCTTGTGAGCTTTCATCAACTTCAACTCCATTTTTACTATATTGTGAATGGTGTCAAGAGAAATACTGAGTTTCTTTGCAATGCCATTTTGTGTGGGAGGATTATTTTTCATGACTATAGCCTTCACGTTATGAATAATTAATATTCCTTAGGATTATTTTGAGTTGTTATTTCTGCTTCTGCTGTTACCATAAACGTTCTGCTATGCGAGGTTCTCGTTTCCATGGAGAACACTGAAGATCTACTTCTTCCAAATGGTGTGTTCTTTGGCTCTACATCATTTAGCAATCCCACTAAACAAATACCTTTCCTGGGAAGGAGTGTAACACCTACACTCCAACTATAAATCTACCTGTGGTAGCATTGTACAGTGCGTAGTTAAGAATTAGCAGTGAATCAAATATGCAAGCTATAAACATGTCTTCCGGTATATGACATCACTTGCTTCTGCCGCGGCAAGCCGTTTTTCATAAATATTCAAGTTTTCTTACAGAGTGCGATTAACCATTTATAACATATTTAATGTGTTAATAATTCGTATCATATTTATAGCTTTTATTTGAGTCAGTTTATTTCTAGTTGGCTTGACATGATACTGTTATATGAAACTGTTTACCACTATAAAGCAAAAATGTTTTATGAATCTTGCAACTGGAAATTTCTGGAAATACTGAAGATTATGAAAGGGGGAGCCTAAGTTAAGTTAGAGAAACAAACTGGACATGTAAATGATATCAAATGAAAATATATTGTTTCCTTACACTTATCTACCAATATTAATAAAGACCGGTAGACATAATAGATTTAATCTATTGTAAGTAACACTGTACTCCAAGAAAACAAAGTTCGTCCATCACAAAAGAAGGTAAAAAGCAAAGGTTCCTACTCGGCTAATCGCTATCTAGTCCTCTAACAAAGCGGTTTCCTAGGCAACCGCATAATACTACAAATATTTCATTGTCTGACAAAGCCTTTAGTGGCTAGTTAGCTGCTGAATACATACAGATTATTCAATTTGGCCATAACTAACCTTATATCAAGATTGAAAGTAAAAATATATTTACTTACACGTTGCTATACATATTTGGTAGATATGACAGTCTAGTGTATTGACAAACTACAACTGAAGGAGATAATTCGTCCACAACGTACGCTTTTGCGATTACAGCTGAGCCAAAGTTGTCGCGTGTATCGACCGTGCTGCTCTCTGTGGCAAAATGAGGAAATGATGTAGGTCAATACTTCACCTTTTGTAAGTAAAGAAACCTAGGGAATACACAATGAGAAGGGTACATGCATGTGTCAGGTACTCCACAAGTGTGTATGTGTGCGCGGAACTTGAAGTGAAGAGTGTATGGTTGTGTTAAAAGGGGGCTAGAATATACTTGAAAAATCGCAATAAATCAAATCAAAATTTTGTAAGCATGCCTTAAATATTAAAATACAGAAGGATTGAATTCCTGCAATTAAAGTAGGAATATTAATAACCTGAAACATATATATATATATATATATTGATATAAAAAATATAATGAATTCTGATTGGTCGAACAGGTGTAGGCCTACTGAATTAGCATAATAAGACATATTAAACCCCCTGATGGTATAACATATATAGTGAAACCCTGTTGCTTTGATAAGTATTTTGAAATCTTGTTAGTTTAGCAAGGCTTAGTAAGGTTACACAAAACTCCGTTTAACAGTAATCTTAACATCACGTCATACTTTAGGCAAGAATCGGTTTATTAATGTTATTAATAATTATGTAATTTTCAAAGTTATTCAGTTTTAGCCATTTTCTTAACGATAAGTAAGTTTTCAGGTAATTTTACTTATCAATAAGGTTTCTCATGTACGAACTAGAGTCTAGTCAGAAACATCAGCACTGTGGCAACTCTTTACACATTTATTCAACGGACAAACATATATCGATCATGATACGTTATATAAAGTTTACTATATTTAAAATGGCCTGGTGGTTAAGGTGCTCGACTCGCAATCTGAGGGTCGCGGGTTCGAATCCCTGTCACACCAAACATGATCGCCCTTTCAG